GGCTGATTTGGAGAGCCTCGGTGAGGCTGTGGTGGCAAACCATGCCAGCCGGAGACGGTGGCATTTTGCCAGGCTTCAAGTCCAACGAACGGGGAAACTGTGACAAAAGCAGCTGGGGCACTAAAAAAACAGCCCTAAAAGCAGAAATGTGAAGCTTTGTGCTGTAAATAAAGCCAAGATATTTGCTTTTTCTGTCCCCTTAATCCATTTGTAACTAAAATCAGTCAAAAGGCTTATCGTGCGGGGCGTGTTTTGGGGAGATTGGAAAACCGTGCTGCAGGAGGGACACAGTGGCTCCTGCACGAGGAGGCCATTTCAGTGCTTTCCCAAAAATCCCATTAATTGGGGAAAGAGCCCCATGTGCTCTCACCTCCCCCTCCCAAGACATTTCAAGCTCCATCCTCATCGTTCGCCACCCTTGGCAGCGGGGAACAAACAGCTGGATGAACTCAACCCAGGCTCTCTCCGTCTATTTATTTATTCTGGGCAGTTCTGCTCCTCCCCTCGCAGGGGCTTTCCAGACGGTTCCTGTTTATTTTTGGGAAAGGAAAGACCACGTCAAGGAATTGGTATGAGCCGGAGCTGCTTTCCAACTAGCCCCAAATGGTGATTTTTTTGCTGCCGTCCCCCTCCCCAAACCTTCAGTTCCTGGAGGATAACCTCTCGCTAGCACATCTACCTCCGTCTAGCACCCTGATAGTTTTATTTTTTTTTAGTAATTAACGTGTAGCAGGAGGGCGGGTTTGGCTTAAATCCCAACTTCTCAGTCACTGGCAAAGGTGTTGGGAGGTTGGGAGATGTTATAGCCGAGGAGCCCTGCTGTGGCCCAGCTTTCTCCCAAAACTGCGAGCAAATGTTCCCAGCCTTCCTCTTGCAGGGTGGGAGCGCCGGGTGCTCCGTGTCCCAAGGAGCCAGCCCCGTGCAGGTGAAAAATCGTGCTAAATCCCAGTGAGAGAAACCTGCAGTGCCAAAAGAGATGTTTGCGTAAGATATCGTGTGCGCCAGGAGGAGGGCAGCCAAACTGCTTTCAGGTCAAGTGGGAAAACAGCCCTTTTTCTCCCTAAATTCCCTGCCGGGCTCATTAGAAATGACCGACGATGCTCCCGCGCCAGGCATGCCAGTACCAAGCTCCTCACTCACAGGCTCCCGCGACCAGAGGGCAGCTGCTCCCTCCTGCCTGATGCCGGGTGGTGAGCGGTGCTGGAACGGGAATGTCTGCAGGAGAAACTCCTCTCCTTGATTTAAGGTCCCTGAATGACGGCAATTCCTCACGCCTCGTGCCGCGCTCTGCCGGCACTTAATTACCCTCACTGGTAAAAGCTGTTCTCTTATTTCCACCTTGACTTTGCTGACTTCAGCTTCCCTGCTGTTGAATCCCGCTTTGCCTTTGGCTGCTAATTAAAAAGCCCTTCAGCGTTTGCTGGCTGCTCCTTGCATAGGTGATTACGGACCGTGCCCCAGCCACCTCTTCACCTTCACAGCAGCTTGGCGGAACCACGGCCTTCCTCCTCCAAAATATGTGCAACTCCTTCCCAAGCTGCTTCCCGGCAAAGCTCAGCCAAAACGGTGTCGCTGCGGTGGGGGCCATGGTGTCACCTATAGAAAAATACCCAAGCTCTGCTTTTAGCTCCTAATGAGGTCGTTTCAGGCGCGATGTTTTTTCCCCATCCACAGGACAGCAGCGGATGCGTGTTCACGCTCTCCTGGCTTGCACAGCCCCTTCACCGTGATGCTGTGCCGAAGGGGCTCGTGGCGGGGTGAAAAGCAGCAGCACCTTCTCCAGCGGAGGAGGAACGAGACGAGGTGAGTTGCAGGCTCCTCCCGGAGGAGCTCAGCTCGATTTAAACAATCCTTTGGCTGGGGCAAACCCAGGGGATTCCCCCCACCTTCCCTCCCACCCCTCAGTCTCTCAAATCTCAGCGAGATCTGCAGTTTTCTTTGGTGTTTGGCTCCTTATTTTTTATTTTAAGTTTAAAACTGCTGTGGGCCGTCTGCCCTTTCTCCTTGCTCCCAACGGCGCAGCCAAGGCTGCTCAGACTTTCCAAACACGAGCAGGGACACAGCCCAGGCCTAAATTTGTCCCGGAAAAACTATGAGCAGCTGAAAGAACAGGCAGGAGGTGGGGGGAAAAAAAAAAAGGGAAGAAAGAGGGAAAAAGAAAAACAACCTAAACAAACCCCAAACCAACTTGCTTTTGCAATAAGCCTCTGTGTGTGTCAGGGCTTGGGTGATTTTTTTTGCTTGAAAATGTATTTCAAGCCCCACCGTCCTCCTCCACAAGGTGGATGGCAGTTCAGCAAAGTGAAAGCTCGGTCACACGTGCACTGAAACAACAGTTCTCAGCCCAGCGCATGGCATCTCTGCTGGCATCGTTGATCCTTGTACCATCAGAAGGTGCATGTGCCAGGAGCCACGCGGCCTGGGGATGCCGTGGTGTCACCCTTTCATCTCTGCTGAGGACAGACCCTCTTGTGACGCCTCTCCCTATGGCTCCATTGGGGTTTGTCCTGGAGGAGGGGAGGATGTTATTTTCCTGGGAAAAAGGACAATTGAGGATTTTGCTTTTTTCTGCCTGTCCTATCATTTTTCCTGCCTTCTCCCTCAGGGACCTGCAGGCAAACCAGCAAGTGTTCAAGCCTCGTCGAGCATCTCCAGTCAGCGTGGAGGGGACCAAAGGCCGTCGCCATCCAGCCACCTCGAACGCCTGGCTGCTGCTCTCCAAGTTGCCTGTCCCTCCCCATGCCACTCTATCGCCTTGCAGGGGTTTACAGGGAGCTCATCCAACTGGCCAGCAAGTTTTCTTCTCTATTTTTTTTTTCTTTTTTTCCCCTTCGTTGATGAAATCAGCACTTCATAAAATCACATCAGGCCCAGATGTTTTCTCCTCAGGTTAAGATCCAAGGAGGTGAAGTCAATTAGAGTTCAGATTTATACCAGGCGTAAACACAGCCCCTGGCAGCCGGTGCTGCTCTCCCCTGGGCAGAGAGCTGGAGCATGCCTCGGTTGCGATCCCTCGATGGTGAGCAGGCTGGGAAATGCACCCCATGACTTCCAAACACCCTATGCATTCCAGCTTCTTGTGGGTCCCCCCAGTGAGTGCACAGCTGGCTGCACAGCTGGCCCTGGCCTTAATCAGGTGACTCTGCTGGGGCCTCTGAGACCCACCTCTTCCCCCGGGAAGCATGGTCGACAGGCCAGCGGCGCCAGTTTAACCTCCTTGGGGACTCTTCCTAATTAGGAGGTGTCTAACGAAGACTATCAGCTGCCCGCGCTGGACCAAGAGCGGTGTGCGAGTGGCTGTTTGCCATGGCGTGGGGCTGATGCATGGCTATGGGATCTTCTTTTGGGGCTAAATTGTTCAAATTAGGAATCATAATAATCAGGAAAAATGCTGGTTTGGGGTTGAGTTTTGTGGGGTTTTTTTGCAGTGAGATGAGACGAGTAAAACCAGCTTAATTTGGGCTCAGTGAAAAACTGGGGATGTTCTCTATGTAGAATAAGCGGTGCTTTGTTGGTGAGACAGTGCCTTAAGGGATTTGGCACCATCCTCCTGATACGATATCCTGAAATACCAAGCGCTGGGATGGGCTCACAAATGAGAGGAGAAAAGCAAGAAGAGGGGTGCTATCACCGCCTTTAAGTTCACGCAGACCTGGCCGAGCCCTGCCAGGAAATGGCACGGAGTGGCAACACAGGTTTTGCACATTTTTATTAATAAAATAGCCGATGGTGAAGAATTGGCCCAGAAAACCAGTCGGCTGGGGCCCTTGGACTGCTCCTCACCGCTGTCTCCCTCCAAAGGAAACCCACAGTGGCGATACGAGCCCGCAGGGCCGTGCCTGAGGCTGTGCCTCGGCTCTGCCGAGACAAACACGCTCCTGGCGTGCCCCAGCCTCTCTCCTCCCTCCAGGTCTCTTGGCTCAGGGCGGCTCACGGGGGCACGTCAAAACTCCTTAAACCTGCAGGGAGAGAAGCAAGCGGCTGAGCGCAGTGGGTGCCATTTGGCAGGTGTTGGGATCAATGTCAGGTGCCGCAGTGCTGTCGGGAAGATGGAAAGGGAAAGGAAAACCCCAGCCCCATCTGCACCACAAGCCCGGAGAAGAAGCAGGCGCAAGGAGGAGATCCAGCCACCGTTTTGTCTCTGGCTAAAGCTGAAATGTCCCCCTCAAAAAAAATCCCAACGTTTCCACCTTCTCTCTGCAAGCTGCTCCAGAGACAACGCGCTCCCCAAAGCCCTCTAAGGTGTTGCGGTATTTCCACAAACTGAGCCAGCTGCTTGCCCCAGCACAAAACAGACAGATTTTGGTGCAAATGGGGACCATGCCAACCTGGCCAGGACGGTCCTTGCCCCAACCAGCCCTGGCACAAGAGAGCGGAGCCCGACAGCCCTCCACCGGCAGCCGGAGAAGGAGACCTGGGCCGCACTTACCGCAGCGCGAGGCCCAGATTATTGGTGTTTCACCTGCAAACACAAGACATAAAGGACCAAATGTTCGCGGAGGCTCTCCCCCACCGCTGGGAACAGCTGCGACCCCTTCCCCCTTGGTGCTTGCTGGGGGGCTTCGGTGGCAATCAGAGACAGGCCAGTGCTGATTTGGAGATTATTTATACCTTCGCTGCAGTGATTTGGCCACGGATTTGATTAGCGAGCCCGGACTCTGTGTAATCAAGCTCATTAGCACTACGGGTGGGCAATGCAGCCTATAAATTCAGCTGTTTTAAGTGTATTAATCAATGCCAATCAATCGGGCATCTGGGCTAACATCTCGTAAGTCAGCCAGAGACAAGGACGCGCTGCCCGCCCACCCACCCGTCCACACTCTCTTCCCCAGCCATTGCGATTTGATCCTTTGATTCCCAAATCTTGATCTCTGCCCTTAAATTGTCAGCGGAGTGGCTGGTCCTAGGCTGAGCCTGCCAAGCAAAACTCAAAATCAGGGCGAATTAGGCTTGCGTTTGCATTTAATCCTCAGGGCTCAAGCGAAGATACTCACACTGAGCTACTTCCCATCCAGCACTGACTCTGTTAGCTGCACGCTAGAGCTACAAAAACACAAGGACGGTGTGTTTAGCACCAAGAGAGTTTTGTGAGGCGTGGATGGCTAAAATCTCCCGGGTGCTGCCCTGGCTCAAGGTGGAAATGTCTCTTTGTGCCCACAGAAGCGAGACGTCAGGCAGACGGCCTCGCGAAGCCTGACATGATGCCGGCATGGAGATGCAGCAACGACAGCAAGGGATAACAAACATCTTTCTGGAACGGCACCGATGCCGTGTTTTGGCATCGCGAGAGCGGAGGCCACTCCGGGGTGGTACGTACGTACCCTCTCTTCCTTGCCATGTAGCCACACCACCCACGGACCTCTTTGACCACCACACGAGCGAGGAGCTGCAAGAGGAAAGGTGGAGGATCGCTGCGGGGCCGAGGGCACTGCAGCCACCTGCCTCGGTGTAAGCTTTTCCATTACCAGGAGACAAATTTTAAGGCTTTTCCTAGGAAAGATCGCATGAACTAAAACTGTGCGTGGAAGACGTTGTTGGGAAAATCCAAGTGAATGGAGGCAAAGGTTTGGAGTCGATACGGGGCTTTGCAATTTGCCCTGTGCCTGGCTGTCTCCCGAGGACCTGTCTCTACCCTCCGCCAGCGAGTGGGTGGCTAAAAGGGAGCCCTTGAATATCCAGGGTAGCAAAACGAGGGACCTACCAGGCAAGCCAAGACGTCGGCTGCTATCAACATGTAGAAGACGTTATTCCAGCCCGTGGGAGAGATGAGCCCTGCGAGCAGCGGCCCTAGCGCAGCACCTGCGAGGGCAGATGAGCGACATTAGGAAATGCCCTGTTCATGGGGGAGAGGGGGTGGTTCACTGCGGTGCCGGGGCAGGGGGGAAATCAGCGCTTGACATCCCCCAGCATTACACACCTACGGATCCTGTGCCATCAATGATGGCCGTGACAGTAGAAAGGGCTTTGGCGTTTCCTTTGAGAGATTCATGGGTTCCCTGCAGGGACGAAGAAGTAAAAAGTAAGGAGGGAAAGCAGCTTTGGGGTCCGCAGCCGGCACACGACCTAGCATGAGGCTCTTCATGCCCCAGGCAGCAAGTTCCATGTATTGGACCCAGCCATGGATGGGAAGACCAAACTCGGACACTGCCTGCAGCCAAACCATGGCAAAACCTGAACTGCCAACAGCGGGCATCAATCCCAGGTGATTTCCCAGCAAATTTTTCCACTCTGATTGTGCTTAGAGGGAGATGCTGCAAGGCCAAAGCAGGGTCATGCGGCCAAGGTTAAAAAGCAATAGGAAAAAAAGCCATGTTTAAGGGAAGGTGCGGACCGCAGCACGAGGTGTGACAGCCCTGCCCTTCTCCGTTGGGCTTCAGAGGCATTAGAAAACAGAGCTAAAATGCAAAAATCCCAGCAAACATCTCACCGGGAAAGAGGGAGCAGCCTTTGAGTGTGCAAGGGCAGCGTGGCGGGGTCTGAGGTGCACCTCTTACCAAATCTGCCGAAACCGCCGTCGTGATGAGAGCATAAGGCCCGTTAACCAGAGCGCCGCAGACGATCAGCATCGCTGTGAGGAACGAGACGGACACAGAGGTAACCGGGAAGAGGTTAAATCTTTAAGTGCAGGGAGGAGCATGATGTTGGGTCCATCATTCCCAGCCCCTATGTGGACATCGCTGTCCCGCACATCCATCTCCTGCGCATCTCTGTTTTCCCCCGGAGATCCCACCCAGCAGGCAGCGAACCTTCATCCAGCACCACCCTCCCCCAAATTCTGGATCAGGAGCCCAGCTCAAGAGGAGAAATAAAGGCACTTGAGTCCGCAGCATCTCCCATCGCCCCTTCAGTGACAGGAACCGGCTGTGCCGAGGAGCTCCTTACCTATGGATGTGCCGATGCCATTCTGGCCGACATGGTTGTACAGGAACAACTGGAAAAGAGACACGAGATGAACAAGTTATGGCTATTCCAGCTGTTTTCCCAAGCGTTTTCCTTGCAGCAGCACCCCAGGGACAGGATGGAGAAGTTGGGGACCTGAATTATCGCCAGCGCCAAGCTTCGCAGATTCCCCCTCTACGCGGTGTTTGAATAGGAAAGTGCCAGCCGGGACGGGGAGCTGAGCGCGCCCTTGGCTCCACATCCCGCCGTCTGCCTGCCAGATGAAATACCTGGCAGCTGGCAAACAGAGGTGCTGCCGCGATTTATAGCTCGGCGAGGCTCACACGCCTCCCCGCCGGCTGAAGCCAGATGGTAATTTGCCCCACCGGCGCTATCGGGGGACGGGGACGTGATGCGGCCTCTCTGCTTTTCTGCCAGCTTCTTTGGAGGGGAGAGGCTTGCAACCCAGAGCCAGCCAGGCTTGGATTACAGCTAATTAGCCGTGTTTTTGTGGCAGCAAAGCCAAACGAGCTCCGTGCAGGTGCTCGGGAAGGACGTCCCGGCCAAGCACTGGCAGAGCATGAGGCCATCAGCATTGGGGCTTTTGGGTTGCAAGGCAAAGAGACAAAAGCTGGCCCAGCTCGGTGGGACCCCCAAGGCTTTAAGATAGAGAGAGTTATGGCAGGATGGAGGACAAAGAAACCCTAAAGGGTTTTTTTTGGTTTTTTCAGCTGTCAAGGACTCTGCAATCCCTTCCCAGCCCCCAGATCTGGATGTGCACCCCAGGAACATCTCGGCACATGGATCAATCCCAGCTTTCATCTCAGCTGAGCGCGTGACCAGCTTATCCCAGGCGCCTGGGAAGAGGAAGGTGGCCGTGACTCAAAGGAGCCGAAGGAGAGGAAACCCTCGTGACTGGGGTTTTTTTCCCCGCATGACAACGCACCATGGGAGCAGCGATGACCAGCATCACACAGCACGTGGTGGCTCTGCCGCCGCTGTAGTCGGAGATGAGGCCGGCAAAGATCCCCCCTGTAAGAAGGAGTTGCAGGTGTCGGTCACACCACCCCAGCAGCAAAGCTTCACCCTGGCTTAGCCCAAAATCCAAGGGGATGCTGGACCATGATGCTCTTTCATCCCTCAACTTTTGAGCGAGATGCCCTTAAGGTTAAATATAATAATAATATCAGTGTGAAGAGCTTTGATTTATCCCTGCCGCTTTCTGCCTGCAGATGGCTTCCCTACATCTGCACGTAGCTCTGGTCTCCTCCACACTTGCAAAATGTATTATTTATTGAAGAAAAGGAGAGCTTGAGCAAGCAAGACCCAAAGAAAGGTGTTGCGATGGTCACCTGGATGGCAAAATAAAAACGAGGGGCATTTGCTGCCTGCTGAGTGCTATGAATGCTGAATAAACCTCACTGCAGTGCTCTGGGGAAACAGATGGTGTTACCTGTGGAGGGGACATTCAGTCAAGGCCAGGATTGTCCCCAAATCATCCCCGATCCACCCCCTTCACCCAGGTACGTGCCGAACCTAAAATGCCCCCGACGTCAAAGAGGGTCGACAGGTCCCCGGCTTCCTTGGCGCTGAAATGAGCTGTGAGGGAGAGGAGAGGGGTGAGGAGACGCTCCCCTTGCCAGACTAGCTCCCACCTCACCGTCCCCAAAAACTCACCAACGTTCACGATATAGAGGGGCAGCCAGTAAAGGAAGGTGTAGCTCACCAGCTTGGCAAAAAGCAGGCAAAGGGAGAACTCCACCACACCCTGGGAGGAGAGGAGAAGATATCAGAGGAGCCTCCTTCTCTCAACCTTCTTCAGATGGTGTGGTTTGTTTTTTTTTTCCCATTGATGGGATGCTCTGGCTTTGCTCTTTCCTCCATCCCTGTCATGATGCAAGCAGCATCCCACAACTCACGGGTATGCGGAGCGCTCCGAGAAAGCTGATGGCTTCGGGTTCCTCGGCTGGTTCCTTGGGGCCATCGGAACGATTTGCACTGCTCTGGCCTGAGATGCTCAGTGGCCCCTCGTTGGAGGTAACTGCTTCGAGATCTTTCTCATTGGTGGTCGCTCCTCCAGCATCCTCCTCATCAGAGGCCATCTAAAAGCAAGCCAGAAGCATGAGATGTGGCTCTCGTTGCTGGAAGGGGCTGAAACATCAGATTCACTGCCGGGACGTGACCTAGAGGATGCTCACACTGGAATAGCAATGAGCATCCTCTGTGATAACCGAACATCACTCTAATTTCTGATGTTGTGATGTGATGCCACAGTTGGTTTCACTGTAAACTGAGCGACCGCCCAGCCCAGGACAAGCCCATGGGGAATCGATTCAACTCACATGATGCAGAGGCGGACTGCAGCCGACGTCCTCAGGATCTGCAGGGAAAAAGGAGATCCCGTGAGAGCCACTTGTTCTCCCTCCAGCATCTCACGCTGCAGGGGAGAAACATGGGGCTGGGAACCCTCCACGATTGGGCTGCACCTCCAGGTATTCGCTTCACGGCAGCGAAAAACCCTGGTAAAATCCAAAAGGGCTTCCCAAATCTTTCCTAGAAAGATAGGCTGAGAGGAGTGACCAGTACAGGGGCTGAGCCTGCCTGGATGACCCCAAAAGGATGCTGAGCATCCTGTGGTGGTCAGGTCCGCATCCCTGCTTGCCACAAGCTGGAAATAAGTATTTGGGGTTGCCTAAAATGCTTGGAGACGGGCAAGGTGAAAAATTGTGGTCCCGCTGATTTCGAGGTTATGCTGGTCAGTGATCACACCACTTACACTCCACGAGGAAGAAGAAGCAGACGATGCCCATGGCAGCAATGATGATGCCGGGCACGACGAAGGAGAGACCCCAGGCAGAGGAAACCCAGACACCAGCGATGAGTGACCCTAAGATGTTGCCGACGGAGGTGTGCGAGTTCCAGACGCCCATGATCAAACCTCTCCTGGTGGGAACAGAGTCAGGGTTGGTATCACCGGGGTGGGTGCCGGGACCGACGGGAACCAGAACTGGGGTGGGACACGCCGGAGAAACACTCACTTTCCTTTCCCGAACCAGTTCCCGACACACGCCACGACAGAGGGCCAGCCGGTCGTCTGCACCAGCCCATTGCAGACCTGGCAAGAGATTGGCAACATCACGTGGCACTGTCGGGCACCTGGCAAGTACCGGCTTGATCCATGGAGCGCAGCCCCTGTGCCGTTTTGGGGAGCCGGGCTCCAAAATAGCCACCCCCATCCCAAAGCTGTCAAGAAAACATTCGGTTTGGATTTTTTTTTCCCTGCTGGGGCAATGCCGGAGCCGTTTGCATTGTTCCCATGGCTAAATTGGGAGCGGCTGGTGTTGCCAAACCGCCCACCCGCCCTGCTCGGTGAGACGGGCACGCCCGATGGTTTTGGCGTCCACGCCACATGCGACCAGGTTTTGTGGGGAGTGGAAATGCCCAGCATTCTCCCGCTCAGAAACTGGGCCACCCGGATTCCCCAAAAAAATGGGGGGATGAGGCTGTGGCGGTAAAAATCCAGAGCCTGGGCATCCTCCAGTGCGAACGCACCTGCACGACGATGAAGTACCAGAGGACGTGGATGTCCCAGAAGTAGCCGAGGCCGAAGAGCGCAGTGAAGAGCCCGCTCAGCACCATGCCCCCCGACAGGTAGTAGCGCAGGGGAAGGCGCTC